TTTGAAATTAGGCCAGTTTAGTAACCCTACAATGCCTCTAAGTGTTTCAAGTGAAAGAGTCGCCTCATTCTCTCACTTTAATCAAAAGGTGGAAATGACTAAGCTTAGCGAGGAAGGATGTGAAAGCTGAGATAGGGCCAAAAGCTAGGACTCTTGCACCCAAACATTAGCTAAGCTATGGATGCAAAGAAAAGTTCTTGGAATGAGATTAAAAGCGCTACTCTGATTGAACATCCAAATGATGAAAAGCAAAACTGCCTTATCGCTGATATGGGAGAAAGTTTTAGTGGTCTGGATAGAAGATCAAACCAGCCACAACATTTCTAACCCAAAGCCTATCCAGGGAGCAAGGCATCTAATTCTTTTCAATTCTGTGAAGTGAGAGAATACAAACTACTGAAAAGATTGAGCTAGCAAATGTTGCCGGCATGAAGTTTAAGGAAGAAGCATCTCCATACATAAAACTGCTAGGTGAGGCAGCAAGTACTTCGAGGTATACAAAGGTTAAGCAAGGTTATGCAGAAGATCTAGCCTAAATAATTGTGGGGAGGGGTGGCTCACGACCACTTCAGATTTTTTTTTTTTTTTTTTTTTTTTTTTTTTTTTTGAGACGGAGTCTCACTTTGTTGTCCAGGGCTAGGAAGTGGCAGTGCCGTGGCGTCAGCCTAAGGCTCACAGCAACCTAAACTCCCTGGCTCGCAGGAATCCTCCTCGCCAGCCTCCGAGTAGCTGGGAACTACAGGCAATGGCCACCTATGCCCGGGGCCTATTATTTTTTATAATATATACAGGTTGGCAATTATTCTTTCTAGTTTATTAGTAAACGGGGTCTGCTCTTGGCTCAGGCTGGTTTCGAACTCCTGACCTTGAGCAATCCGCCTCGCCTCGGCCTCCCAAGAGCTGGATTCAGGCGGACCACAGAACCCCGGCCACTTCAGACTTTTTAACTTTTTGAGACAAAGTCTCTTCTTGTTGCCCTTGCTAGAGTGCCGAGGTGTCAGCCTAGCTCACAGCAACCTCAAACTCTGGGCTCAAGCAGTCCTTCTGCCTCAGCCCCGGAGTAGCTGGAACTACAGGCATGCACCACCATGCCTGGCTAATTTTTTCTATTTTTGGTAGAGACGGATCTCGCTCTTGCTCAGGCTGGTCTCCAACTCCTGAGCTCAAACAATTCGCCCACCTTGGCCTTCCAGAGTGCTAGGATTACAGGTGTGAGCCACCACAATCGGCCAAATCAGATTTTTAATGTAGATGAAATAGCCTTATATTAGAAGAAGATGCTGGCTGGACAGAAGGTAGTGAGTTATCTCACTGGATTGTTCACAGTCAGTCACAAATTGAACTCTTTGTTGTACTACTTTCCCTCTTCTCACTACTTCACTGTGACTAGTCAAAAAGAAGAAGAAGAGGAAGAAGAAGAAGAGAAGGAGAGGAGAGGAGGAGGAAGAGGAGGAAGAGGAAGAACAGGAAGAAAAAGAAGGAGAAGTCATCTAGGACCTTCATAGCTAGAAAGGAGAAGTCAATGGCTGGCTTCAAAGGACAGGCTGATCTCTTGTTAGGGCTAATGCAGCTGCTGACTTCAAGTTGAAGCTGGTGTCATTTACCATTCCAAAAATACTAGGACCTTTAAGAATATGCTAAATCTATTTCTACCTGTGGTCTAGAAATGAACACAAAACCTGAATGACAGCACATCTATTTATAGCATGGTTTGTTTACTTATTTATTTGAGACAGGGTCTTGATCCATTACCCAGGCTAGAGTGCAGTAGCATGATCATAGCTCACTACAGCTTCAACTTCTAGGCTCAATGGATCTTCCTGCCTCAGCCACCCAAGTAGCTAGGACTACAGGCACTCACTACCATGCCCAGCCAATTTACTGACTCTTTTAAGCCCATTGTTGAGACCTACTGCTCAGAAAAAAAAAAAAAAAGATTTCTTTCAAAATATTACTGCTCATTTACAATGTACCTGGTCACCCAAGAGCTCTGATGGATTAATGTTGTTTTTATGCGTTTTAACACAGCATCCTTTGTGCAGCTCATGGATCAAAGAGTAATTTTGACTTTCAAGTCTCATTAACACATTAAGAAATACACTTTGTAAGGCTATAGCTGCCATAGGTAATGATTCCTCTGATGGATCTGGGCAAAGTAAATTGAAAACCTTCTAGAATGGATTCACCATTCTAGGTGCCATTGTCATTCATGGGAGGAGGTCCAAATATTAACATTAACAGCAGTTTGGAAGAAGTTGATTCCAAACCTCATGGATGACTTTTGTTTTTTATCTTTTGAGACAGAGTCTCACTCTGTTGCCTGGGCAAGTGCGTGGTGTCAGCCTAGCTCACAGCAACCTCAACTCCTGGGCTCAAGCGATCCTTCTGCCTCAGCCTCTGAGTAGCTGGCACTACAGGCATGTGTCACCATGGCCAGCTATTTTTTTCTATTTTTAGTAGAGACAGGGTCTTGCTCTTGCTCTCGAACTCCTTAGGCTCAAGCAATCCTTTAGCCTCGGCCTCCCAGAATGCTAGGATTACAGGCGTGAGCCACCACGACCAGCCTCATGGATGACTTTGAAGGGTTCAAGACGTCAGCGGACAATGTAATTGCAGATATGGTGGAAATAGCAAGAGAACTAGAATAGAAGTGGAGCCTTACTCCATGTGACTGAATTGCTGCAACCTGAGATGATGAGAAGTTGCTTCTCAAGAATGAGCAAAGAAAGTGATTTCTTGAGATGGAAACTATTCCTGGTGAAGATGCTGTGAACATTGTTGAAACGACAACAAAGGATTTAAAGTATTACATAAACTTAGTTGACAAGGGGGTGTCTGTGTTTGAGAGGACTGACTCCAATTTTCAAAGAATTCTACTGTGGGTAAAATGCTACCAAACAGCATCATATACTACAGAAAAATTTTTCATGAAAGGAAGAGTGAATAGATGGTGGCAAACTTCATTGTTGTCTTATTTTAAGAAATTGCCACCCCAATCTTCAGCAACCACCACCCTGATCAGTTGGCAATCATCAACATATAGGCAAGCCTCTCCACCATTAAAAAGAGCATGACCTACTGAAGGCTCAGATGAACATTTTTTAGCAAAAAAGTATTTCTAAATTAAGATATGTCTTTTTAAAGACAATTTTATTGGACACTTAATAGACTATAATATAGTGTAAACACAACTTTAATATACACTGGGAAACCAAAAAATTTGTGTGACTCACTTTACTACAACATTCACTTTATTGTGGTGGTCTGGAACAGAACTCCTGAAACATCTCTGAGGTATTCCTGTATTTCAGAAACCAATAGAGTGACTATGTATTTTTGTACACATCTAGTTTACCACTGTATTCTCAATGTTTTACACTGGGTGCGGTCTATGTTAGTAGACACCTAGGAAATCTGTGAATTGATAATTAAATTGAATTAAAATGTTTCAAGAAGCAGTATACAGTATGTGGCCCACAGTACTCAAAGAAGGAAGGAGTAAGCAGGGTGGAAGGAATGCTGCTGAAGCCAGGATGAGTGAGGATTGATGTGGCTTGGTTTGGGACTTGAGTTGAACCTGGCAGCTTTTCTCTCAGGAAGAGCAGATTTCTTTAAATATTTATTGACGTGTACTTTGTCTACCTCACCCTGGTGGTGCAGAAATCCATCCAAACTGATCTCTGTTCTCAAATAGCTCAGTCTGGTGGGGAAGGCAAACAGAGGCCCTGATAATTATAGAATATGGTGTATATTTAACTGTGGGAGCACAGAGATGGGAGGAGCTAGTAAACTTGGAAGGCATCACAGACTAGGTGACATTTGAACTGTCTTAAATGTGCGAGTGCATTAGAGCAGGAATTCCAGAGGAAACCAGCCTGTGCAAAAACCCTGATAAATTGTATGTGGGTAAGAATCACCTGAGAGGTCTGTTTAAAATGCAGATTCCAGGGCCACACTCCACAGGAAACTTCTGGTTCAATAGGCAACTAGCACCCATTTTAACAAACGTCCCAGGACTACCCTCAGGAAATCTTCCTGTGCTCATAGTCGCGGAAAGGGGACCGGAGAGCAGTATCCGGATGTGAAGCTGGAGAGAGCTTTGTCCATCCGGGCTCCCGGGTCTCCGAATGAGGTCACACTATTAAAAAAACACAAAACACACAAACCACCCTCCATTTTGCGTTGTGCTTTCAGCTCATTAGCCACTTTAATGTGGTTTATTTTCTCGGAGACTCGCAACAACTCTGTGGGGTAAAATTATGAGTCTCATGTTACAGGGTAGGAAACTGAGGTTCAGAAAGGAGACGATGGCTCAAGGTCACAAAGCGAGAGGTGGTAGGGCAGAGACTGAAAACCAAGCGACCCGATTCCCAGCTCAGAGACTTCCACGACGCAGCCAGGCCAGGAGTAGGTGGGGTTCAGACCCTCCTCCAGGCTGGTTTCAAAATGGTGGGGGCAGTGGCGTCAGCAGCGAAACGCCCCCGCCCCTTCCGTCCACCTCCCTCCTTCTTCACCAGGCCACCTAGGCGGGGGGAGGGGAGGAACCCAGCAACCCACGTGACTGCCGACAACCGGGCGCGTGACGCAAAGCGGCGGGCCCAACGCTCGCTGTGTCTTGTGGGAAACGTAGTTCAAGAGACGGCCAAGTCGGCAAGGAGAGGTGGGCCCAAGACTACATTTCCCAGGAGGCCGCGCGGCGACGCCGCCGCTGCCGTCGCCGGAGAGCGGGGACGCGGGGCGCGCTGTCGGGGCGGGGGCGAGGTTCAGGCCAGTTGTGCCGTTGCGAGGCTGCTGCTGCGATCGCTGCGGCGAACCTAGGTGAGTGAACACCATTGATGGAATTTAGGGCAGCTCAACCGGCCCTAGTCATTTCAGCATTTATGTTTTTTCTGTGGCTGCTGGGTCAAGGTTCCTGGGAAGGCCTGGAGCGGAGCCGCTCCCCCGCGCTTACGCCCTGGCCTCTTCTGAGCGGGCCCCGCTCCCTCCGGCTCCTCCCCCTCCCCGCCCTTCGGGGCTTCCCTGCGCTCCGGCCTAGCTTCGGAGGCTCTGAGCAACCTTCTCTCCCAATACCTCCCACACTTCTTTTCTTTTTCTTGCAGTCTGCTTGTAGGGGAGGCGTCCACTTCCTTTCCCATCCCGTTTGGTCGTACGCACCCCATTATTTGGGTTTCTTCTTTTCCCGGAACTCTTGAGCGCCCTTCCCCCCACCTAGTCTCCGTTGGCCTGGTTCTGTCTTCTCCGAGGGCGCATGTGGCTGGCACTCAGTAAACGTTAGTACCTCTTCCGTTCTTTTCTGTCTTGTGGCCAAAAGAGGCGTAATCCAAATTTGTCTACGACGGGAATAATCGTGTTCCCAATTTTTTCTTAGGCTGGAACTGAGGCCGACTTGCATTCCAGTGGTAATCGGCCTGTGATCTGCTTACGCGAGGTGATTTCCTTGGCTTCTCTTAGCACCTAAGCAACTTTTATCAGCTATTCTCTTTGCCCTCCTGAATGTTAGGGGTAGAGCACGGCGGAAAAAGCTGTGGAGCAGCACTGGTGCCCAGAACTTGGAAGCTGTCAGCGGGAGTACAGTGTTCAGGGGGAGCTTGTTAATTGGATTGAAGGGAAAGCTGAGAGTATGGCAGGGGAGCAGCAGTAAAGCTTTTGGTGAAAGTGTAACAGAAGGATGCTGAAGCCAGTCTGCCTGGGTTCAAATCTTGTCTCTACTAGGTTTTAATTTTAAGTCAGGAGCCTTAACTTCCAAGTGCCTGTTTTCTTATTTCTAAAATGGCAGTGAATAATAATGGCCCCTAATAAGATTATTGTGGATACTAAATGAAATAAACTAAAAACCAGTTAGTCACTATTGTTACTGTCATCATTTATGGGATTTCTAGATTGTGGGCATTGAGTGGAAAGGCACGTATCACACCTTAATTTTCTTCTCTTTCAGGTGACCCTGTCTTTTTTCATTTGTGGAAATACTGTCATAGTCTGTTGTCTATTATCTAGACAATCTAATATGTGTATTATTATATAGAAAGAAACCAAAGAGTCAAAAACGACTTCTGTCATGAAGAACTTGGGGAGCAAATTGAGGAGATGTATTTTGGGAACTAACGGTATCAAAAACAAGTTTTCCTGCAGCTGTTTAGGCATGATTGCATTCTGTAAGAGAGCTGTTTAGAAGTTTCTGTAAGAAACTAATTAAAAACCTTGGCCAGGCGTGGTGGCTCACGCCTGTAATCCTAGCACTCTGAGGGGCCGAGGCGGGAGGATCGCTCAAGGTCTGGAGTTCGAGACCAGCAAGAGCAAGACCCCGGCTCTACTAAAAATAGAAAGAAATTAGCTGAACAACTAAAAATACATAGAAAAAATTAGCCGGGCATGGTGGCACATGCCTGTAGTCCCAGCTACTCTGGAGGCTGAGGCAGAAGGATTGCTTAAAGCCCAGGAGTTTGAGGTTTCCGTGAGCTAAGCTAATGCCAGAGCATTCTAGCCCAGGCAACAGCTGGACTCTGTCTCAAAAAAAAAAAAAAAAAAGCCTTTATGTCCAGTATAATTCCATTTCTGTTTTTTAAACCTTTTAGCACCAGTGAAAAGATCTCCAGTTTTGAAGAATGATATTTTTAGTCTGCAGATTAGGTACAGTCCAATGTTTGCATTGGTAGTGGTAGAAATAATAGTAGTGGTAGTTCCTTAGAGTTTTTCTTTAATACCAAATACAGGTACTTTTGAATTTGGTTTATTCTATTTTTTTTAGTGGTCCTAAACTAGAGAAAGATTAAATTTGGTTTAGTCATGGAATTAATAGATTACAAAAGTGATATGTTTTGTACTGAGACATCGGAGGAAGGAAGCTTGGAGTATTTCTGAGATTAGCACAGAAGTGGAGAGTGATGAGGCTGACTGGGAAGGCACACAGACATACAATTTATTTGTTTTTAGAATGGATAGTCTTAACCTCTAAGAATATTAGGGTGCCAGCCTGTTTCTCTTGAGCTTAGTGATATCCTGAATTGAAGGAAATGTGGTTAATGCTATTCCCCCAAATATTAGATTTTGGTGGATTGTTTCACGTTCATTTTGTAAACATCTAAGACCTATTCACTATTTGACTCTGATTGGTTGATTCAACAAATAGTGCCTGAGAGCCTACCATTTACCAACTCCTGTACTAGGCCCGGTGAATACACTGCAGTGTGAGGCAGATGAGGTCTTGTCTTTTGGGAACTTACAGGATAGTGGGAGAAGACATAAAAGGTAAGCAAATAATTACAAATTGAGAAAAAAGTGATGTGGAGGTGTCAAGTAAGGGACTGATAGATACTGAAAAGGGAGAGACCTGAGGGTAGTCACAGAAGTTCTTTTTGGGAGTAGAGTGAGGACCAATTTTGTAAGGTGCCAAGGAGAGAATCCAGGTGGAGGAAACAGCAAGTGCCCAAAATGGAAGCTGGGAAGAATTTAGTGTGCTTTCAGAACTGAAAGGAGGCCAAGCATGTTTTAGGAGTGTGGTTACAGATGAGTCTGAGGGTAAGGTTGTTAGGGAAGTCATTGGAGCTTTCTGATGGGTGGGAGGGGGTGCTGTTTGATATATATGTATTATTTACAACAAATGTTCCATTACTTCAGTAGTACGAAACATGAGGGAGGGACGAAGGAAGGGGATTTATGACTTAAATTGGGGGGTGATTTATATGGTCAAATCATTTGTAGAGATGTGGAAAATGGATTGTGGGGATGTCAGTTAAGAGGCTATTGTAGGCCGGGCGTGGTGGCTCACGCCTGTAATCTTAGCACTCTGGGAGGCCGAGGCGGGAGGATTGCTCGAGGTCAGGAGTTCGAAACCACCCTGAGCAAGAGCGAGACCCGTCTCTACTATAAATAGAAAGAAATTAATTGGCCAACTAACATATACAGAGAAAATTAGCCGGGCATAGTAGCGCATACCTGTATTCCCAGCTACTTGGGAGGCTGAGGCAGCAGGATTGCTTGAGCCCGGCAGTTTGAGGTTGCTGTGAGTTAGGCTGGAGCCATGGCACTCACTCTAGCCTGGGCAACAAAGCCGAGACTCTGTCTCAAAAAAAAAAAAAAGAGGCTATGGTAGTCCAGGCTGGAGATGATAGTTCCTGGATGTAGAGTGATAGAATACAGATGGAGCATGGGAAGAAGCAGAGAGTTGAGATTAAGTAGCTTTAATATTCTTTAGAACAAGACATTCTTAATCTATGGTCTTTAACTCCATGGGGCCCATGAATTTTATGAAATTTTTGTGAGGGGTTGTATTTTCTCAAAAAGTCTTTGGCCCACTGCTCTAGACCCGGTAATGCATGTAATTTATGACCAATTAGAAAGTAAAATTGCCCAAGGCCTACTAGGGCATTGAGAGACACAGATAACCTTTTGGAAAAGGTTGACTTTTCTTAGTCTTCTGAGGGAAGTGATTTTGTTTTTAGGAGAAATAATGAGTTTAAATGCTGTGCCATAGAAATCATCTTTTAGTTTCTTTTTGTCTAGAAGATAGGGACTAATTATGCTCATAGTTAGGAATCTGAAATTTAGTGAGTCCATTTTCGTGAAAATTCATTGCCTAATTTTTTCTTCCATTGAATTCTGCTGACGGTTCCCCTTTTAATGGCAGAAATGGAGCACCTTAGTGTGTAAGATGGTGGTTTTGCTTTCCTTCGGAAGGGGTGTCAGATGCATATTCATGTATTTTCAGATGATAGTGTTTTATTGGAGGCATAGGATGTGCTTTCTGCCTCAGAGTTAGAGGAAGAAACCATGTATTTTTTTCTTTTTATGGTAGAGTTTGAAAGCTGAAGGCTCATGGACTAAATCCAATCTGCAGATGTGTTTTGTTTGGCTCACATTATTATAAATTTGAATTAATAGTCAACATTTAAAAACGATGAGATTTCATGTAAAAATTTGGATTCAGACTGCTTTCGAAAAATCAGATTTGGCAGCTGTGGACCTGCAGTTCTGCTTTTTAGCAACTATCTTTTGTAGTGGGGGCATGTCATATTCAGTTTGCCACAGATCCCATCACAACTTGACATATATCCCTGACATGGAGCAGAGTGTCAGTCATTATTTATTATTTTATACCTTTATATTGCTTATCTGTTGTAGACATTTTAATTTGCTGTCCCTGTTCTGGTTATATGATAGTGGTTTCTGATGCCATAATTCAAAGTCATTTTGCTGTCTTATGTCACCATTTTAAATTTTTGCCGCCTTGGTGCCTTATTTCTTTTGTTTCTTATTTAAAAAAAAGGAGATTTTAGGTAACTTTGGAAGAGAGAGGTGAGGCAGTGAGAACCAAAACATTGAATTATTGTTTCCAAACTGAAGAAACCCAAGGACTTTTAGAAAGCATAGACAAATTGATCTGACCACTGCCCATCCCCTTTTTTTGCTGGCAGGTATGCGGTGTCCTCATTTTTTGTTCTGCCTAGTTTGCTTTGTAGCATCTGGAATGTTGTAACTGCATAGCTTGGCCCATCTGAGAAGGCAAGCTAAGAGAAGTTATTGAATGTCTAATTATAAGACTTTTGGCTGCTTCTCTTGGAAAGCATACCAACTTACCTTCTCTTTCTTAAAACTACATACATCCTTGCGCCTGCGTCTTGCTTTCGTAATTCTGTTGTGGTTTTTGAGGGGGGGAAGTTTAATAACTCAATTTCTTTTTTCTCTATTTTAGTAACCACGGGTGGGTACAAATAGGGTCAAGGATTGCTAGAGGCATTCGGCCAGCGCGCGAAAACTTTCTAAACGTTCCACAGCGAGTTTCTTTACTGGAGGGTCTCATTACAGTCAGGGCCTTCCCAGAA